GTGATAAGTCATTTTGTTACACTTATTTAGGCCTTTAAATTAAAGTATTTGTTAGATATTTTAATAAATTATGGCTTATTCTATATATATTGTGTTTGTTAGGAAAAGATTGATAAAATTGATGGAATTGGAAATTAATGGAATTGGAGACTGAATGAGAGAAGGGTGAAATATAGACAAAGTAGATTGAAATACAAAATGATGATTGAAGATCCTATATAATCAATTGGTTGCAATTTAGAGTTAAAGGGGTAAAATACAGACCAAGCATTTTCACAAATCAATTTTCAATAGAACAAGTTATGCATCAGATTTTTAGCTTTAGATTAAAACCTATTTTTCGCATAGTAAACTTTTGAATTGAAAAAAGAGATATTTCTAAAAGAATCACCAGGGACGCTTTATTTGGTTTTAAAAATGTTTATGGGGGCCATTGAAGTCACATTTCGCATTTGGTGATTTTAATGAGTTGATAGTTTTGTTGAGTTGTAATTTTTTTAACATTTGTAACTTACCATGTAGAATTTCTATGCAAACACTAGCAACGAAGGAAATGAAATATGAGGATGATGGATGGAATGCAACATCTCCTAGATGAGTGATCACTCAGAAGCATTTTGACTGTGACCAAGTGTAAGTTGGATGAGTAATGAATTTTTTTATAATTTTTGGCTAGTATCGTGTTAGGGTTTCAATTTTGGGACTTTCACCATGGTTTCATATTTAACCGCAAATCATACTATTTGGTTGTAAGGATTTGTTCAAGCCCTATTTTTTGGGAAAACAAGTTCTGTAGTATTATTTTTTTTATTAGAATGTGTAATTAAAATATAAGAAAAAAATTTGAATTATTTGTAAAATTATTTTATTAGAAAAATATGACAATGATCAAAAACCTTCCTTGATAGGAGCTGAGCTAATCAATATCACCCTTGAGAGTGAAAACAAAGGTATCATTATATCATCATTTAGTCTTCCTCCTTACTTTGTCGATCAATCATTCCTTACTTGTGCACGTGCCTAAAGATAATGTAGTCATTTACCTAATACAAATGGTAACCATAATAAGAGCTGCCAACGTCAAAGTTACTACTCGTCCCATAACTTCTTCTGATTGTCTTCAATTCTTCGACGTGACTATTATTATTTTTCGGGCTTCCATCCTCAACGCTATTCTCTTTTTCTTTCCTCCATTTGTGCTTCTTATACCAATGCCATGCCAACATTATCCCAAGCCCACAAAAAACTGTCATTGTGCACCCTCCTCCTATTACTACTAGTTCCACTTCAACAAATCTTTTACCTTTTCCCTTTCGCATTATAGCCCAAATGGCTGCAATAAAAGCTGATGCCATAAACAGGGTAGAAATCCACATTATCTTGTGAGTTATTGTCAGTAGTTTCATCATGGATTTCCTCTCAAAAGGAATAATGCTCACAAGTACATTCACAATGCTAATAGAAAGGAATAAAGCCACAATATTGCATACCAGAAAGACCTTAAAAGAAGTTTGCTTCCCAAGAATTGCTTTTCCAGTTACTTCATTAAATCCTCCAGGAGGGTTAATGCCCGCTGCAAATGCCACAGTTGCTATTAAAACTGCAACAATTGTTATGGTGTTTCGAGCATTTCTTAGACTCTCGGTATGGAGATCAAGCTGCTTTCTTCTTTGACGGTTTTGCCAGTGAGTATCGGGTTTGGCGGGTTTTTTTTTGTTATCACTGTTTTTATTCCTATGGGCAAGGAATATTTTGGGAATTTAAGTCCATTTTTTAAAATTTATTTTTCTTGAAGCTTTTTTGGATAACACGTTCTTTCAAGAAAATAAATTTAAGCGTAAATTCATATCTTGTTCCTACTTCTTAATCCAAAAAAATAATAATAATAATAATAAAATTAAATTAAATTAAATTAAAAAATTTCTTTCAAACAGTGACTAATTAAGAAACATCCAAATAAATTAAGATCAAGAGTAGAAGATGGCTTTCTCAGCTTATTATTATTTTTATTTTTTAGGTGCTTCTAGTTGATTTATTTTCATGCATGTAGAAGATGGTTTTCTCAGCTTAAATGTTCAAAATCTTAAGACTAGAAATATCAATTCATTTTTAGACTTCTTTTTATAAATAAATGGGTGATAAAATTAAATTAAGTCTCTGTTACATTTGTTAGTTTATATCATTAGTGTTTGGCTATAATTATAAATAATTTATAAGGAGTTGTGGGGTCTCATAAAAATGTGTAGGTAATAAATGAATAATAATTATGAATGTGTGGTTTAAATTAATGCATGGCATGCATTTATCCCGACACATAGAAAGCCTATTCCACCTAGGTGGGAACACTTTTCCAAAGAAGTCCCTTCTCCAGTGAGTGAGTCCGATTATGTAGACTACTATGATCTAGAAATGCATCAGTCCAGACGCATGACCCGATTGATGATTGTCTTACCATCCGAAAATTTATCTTCGAGAGTATCCTTGAATAGCTTTCATGTAGTCATTGTACACATTTCATTTACTATTGCTTTCATTTAGTTCCAGACATTTATTGCATTTTTAATTTACTGGAGGTCAAATATATGCCCCTTCCATTTATGTGTTTCTTTGATTTTTATGATATAAAATAAGTCACGTTGGTGCCCTTAAAAACCGTTATAAACGTATCTAAATATAGACTATGGATGAAGTCAATGTTATGAAAAAGCAATGTTTTGAAAATCAGATCGGACCGGCTGGTCCAACCAGAAATCGGACAAAAATCCGATCCAGTTAATGCTTGAAACTCGTTTTACTCAAAACCGGAGAAAACCCCATTTAATTGTCCGGTTTAATGATTAACCATCGACCCGTAACAGGTTTATCCGGTTTTCCCGATTTTTAAATTGTATAGACTACTCAACTTTTAACCCACTAATTAATAGGCCCAGAAAATCTGTTGTGCACATGTTGGCTCACCCATTTATAGGCACCATTTCTAGTGCTTCATTTAAAAGATTCCGATGTGGGATATAGTATGGTGTTTACTATGTCCAACTGTGCATTACACTTATGTAGTCATGTGGTAGATTTTGATGTGGGATCTACTATGATACTGTTTAGTGTTTATATATATTTTATAGTTAATTATTTTATTGAGTTAATTAATCTTTTTTAACCTTTCTTTAATTATTAAAAAATTTAAGCTCTTCTAACATTTAGGAGTATCATTATCTATTCTTATTTTAGTGTTTAAAAATATTTTTTTTCCACTACTGGTTCGACCCCAGTTCAACCTTTCGACCCTTGACCCTTTTGCTTTTTCGGGTCGATGATAGGGTCGGTTTTCAAAACATTGTGAAAAAGTTGAAGATGATTGATGCAGGGCATGTGGTACAATCATTACGCGTGGAACACCATTTTAATTTTTGTAAATTATTGGATCAATTATGCTATTTGTACAATCATATTTGACAATAGTGGTTGACAATATTTGTGTTGTCAAAATTCGGACTCTTGATTTTAAAAAATAATTTTTGAAATGGACAAATACGATGTTGTTAAGTGTGAATTAAAATTTCAAAATTATCAAATTAGATTATAATATAAAATGAGCCCCCGTTTAGCTCCATTAAATTCTATTCTATTCCATTTTTCTTTTTCTTATTTTTAACCACACAATCTTCCATAAAATAATATTACACGTAAATATCAAATTTTTCCTTTTTTTTCAATCGCTCATTTTTTTTTAAAAAAAGAACACTATTCCACGTATTTTCATTTTCATAAAATGGGACCAAACGGGAAGGGGGGGTGGGGAGGCATAGTGGAATGGTGCCGGGCATTGTATATGTGATACAATGATTACATGTGAACACCATTTTAATTTCTGTAAATTATTGGAACAAGTATCTAGAAGATTCAATTTTTTTAGAGAGATACTAGGTGTACATAAAAGAAAAAAAAAAGGACTTTAAGAAAAATAGTATACAATGATTACATGTGAACACCATTTTAATTTCTGTAAATTATTGGAACAAGTATCTAGAAGATTCAATTTTTTTAGAGAGATACTAGGTGTACATAAAAGAAAAAAAAAAGGACTTTAAGAAAAATAGTATAAAGTGTGTAGATAGCTTTTTAAATTTTAGTTCAAACGGTATCAAAGAACATGATGAATTCAAGTTTAAATTTGATGATCGCTTATAAAAGAAAATTAGTACAAAGTATTAAACAAAATAAAAATAAGTTAGACTTGTACGACTTGTGTAAAACGAAAAATCAAAGAAGTTTGCGGCCGGTGTGTGTAAGTTCCGCGAACACAGGGCGTACAGAGTCAGTAAATGCTGCCTAATACTTAGCATTTTAAGTTAGTAATTTACTTAAATATGACATATTGAGAATAAAAGTTAGTTAGTTAACCGTTTTTATGTTCTAGGTTGAGGATCAAGTACATCAACTTAGTACGTGTCGAATTATAAATTGAGATAAATAGCCCCCGGGACATAACTCAATGGAGCAAAGGACAGGAATGAGATAGTCTCAATCTTACTGACAGCCGCAGTGTGAGAATTCGATTCCTGAGATATGAAATTAGATTCTTTGTGGGTATCAGTGTACAATCGAGCTCTTGTTTTCTGATCTGTTGAAGCACATCTCAGGATTTACCTCCCTCACAATGCTCTAGAGACGAGACGATGGAAACACTTAAAATTAGGGTTCAACCTTTACAAATTGAGATAAATAAATTTATTCTATTTCAACATGTTAAACTTTTATGAGGTATCAAGAGCTAATTGTTTCAAAATAATCACTCAACTTATACTATAGCACTACACCAAAAAATGGTTTTTGCAACGGCAAAAAAACACTGCAAAAGACCTTTTACAGCGTTTTGACGTGGAGGCTTTTGCAACATTTAACAAACATTGTCGTAGGTGGGTGGGTTTTTTTTGTTTTTTTTTTTTTTTTTAATTAGAGTGATTCACATGTATCAACCACAAAACATAATAAAAAATAACTATATCAAATAACTCCAATAATCATTATTAATTGAACTCTAAAATGTAACAATATTCGTACAAAATTCAGATCCAAAATTCTAAAACACCAAAAAATCCAATACATTTTCTCAAAAAAAAAAAAAAAAGACTAGGCAGTGAGTGAAACCACCCTATCTTAAATATCGGTCCTGTTCTATAAAAAAAAGAGATAAAGATATATAACACATTTTAGGCATTTGTACCAATTATAATCAAGAAGAAAAGCGAAGAAAAATAAGTAAGAACCGACAATACACGAACCTGAAAACGAAAACCCATAAACCATATTAGAATCTACATACTGGAACTCAATTTTCTTGAAAGAAAATGGATGAAAGTGTCTGTTATGTGTTGTGTAAATTACTCACCGAGCTCCAAACAACCATTGAAGGTTTGCATCATGGTTGCAAAGATCAAGAAACACTTCCATGCCTGAATTTCCACATCCCACAACTAGAACTCTCTTTCTTCTAAAACTTTCATTAGAATTATAATCACAGGCATGGATGCAAAACCATCAAGAACATATTCTCATGGAGATTTCAAGCTAGCACTATAGAAAAGTAAGCACATTTGAAGGAGCTAGGCGGCCATAAAATTTTAAAATGAGCTGGCTCGTGCTTGGCTCACCCCATAGTAAGCAAGAGCCAGCTTATGCAGTGGGCCTAGATGAGCTGGTTTCGGCCTATTAACATCTGTATTTTAACCCTACGTTTGACTAATTTTTATAAACACTAAACTACTTTATATCCACATATTTTCTAGAACCCACAAGTATTACCCTCTTATCCAACACTTATTCTATATATTTATAATTTAAACAATATACACACTTCCCAAACATGCTATAAATCATTTGTAATTTTATTCTATCCAAGCTTAAGAGTTATTTGTCAGAGTTAAATGACAAAACATGAGCATTTGAAAGTTAGAAATGAGAATGTTAAAAATTTATAATGAAAGAATAGATAGTTCTTAAAATTATGTTACCATATCTAAGGTCCCAGAAATTTATAGTTGTATCATGAGAACGTGTTATGACTTGTGGATCCTGCAAATCGAAGCTATTTTAAACTTTTTTAAGAACATTCACTTTAAGCCCAGTTTGGCCCCCATTTTCTAAAACTCTTATCAACCACATTTTATTGGATCCACAACTTTTATCAAATTATCAACCATACATTTCATCAAACTTTTATCAAAATCTATTAAAAATCTAATTTTTAGCTAAACCAAACAATGGCCAAGTCTTTAACAGAAAGATGAAGCGTTTTCTTCGCCACGTCAATCATTTTCCCGAACATCAATGATATTCAGCATGTTATCAAATGCAATTTGCTTGTCCAATAACACTTGTGGGCCTTCACATGACACTATAAAAAAGTTGATTTTACCAAAAACATAGCAAATATTAAGGGACGGAGGGAGCATAATAACCAACTCTCTTGTGACCTAATCACTTACCGTAGGTCGTGTGAAAACTGAACAAACAGTGTTATAATGCCCCAAACGTGGATGAATTTACATTTTGCTGCGAATATCCCACACCTGGAATTAGGTTTTTATCAAAATTTAGTGATTATTTATCACCTCTTTGGCATATCTAAAACACTGAGCTGAAAATCTATCATATGTAAAGAAATAAAGATAGCGTGAAATTGGTATAAATATTATATACATACCCTGCACACAGAATTTCGTCCGCCTGTGAGCAAAATGTCAATGGTTGGATGAACAGCCAAACAATAAACACCACTCAGATGACCATGATAAGACCGAATGACCTGAAAAGTGCAGATTAGGTGCATGCCCAACTAGAATCACTTATAACCTAAAACAGTTCACATTCAATCACAAACCTTATTCTGCTCCAGGTCCCAACATTTAACTTGTTTGTCATCACCTGCAGAGAACATGTATGTATGCTTGCTGCTAACAGCCAGGCCTATAGGGAAAAATTAATTCTTACTACTCTTTCATATAGCTTAGAAACTAAGGATTAGCCTGACACTAGAAAGTAAACTATCTCTTATTTGTTCGATATGTCCAGTAAGAGTGAGTTTGAGCCGCCCACTTGCTAAATCCCATATCTTGCCAGCATAACAGAAATAAAATAATTGAAGGACACATAAAAAAACAAGAAACCTCATGTTTATATCATCATCATATATCTTCACGGCCGGAAGGTCACCAAAGACGCTTTCTTCATCATCCTTGGGACCATCTCAGGTAGAGTTACACTAATATTTGGAGGTTCCCCAAGAAGATTAGGGCCCAATTTATCATTAACTTCCAGGGTGTTATCATGAAGGACCAGATTACTTTGAATGCAATGAAGCCTAAAGGAGGCATGTGCAAGCTGAAATACATCCCAAGTGTGACAGTACGAACTGCAACTGCAAAAAAAGAGAGCTTCAGAGAGAAAATTAATATTTTCCAAATCCACAAAGGAAGTGAAGAACATATAGAGGGAGTTGAAGAAAGTAGCAAAATGCAAGTTCTAATTACTTTGATCCATGTCTGATGAGCTCTTGCAAAAAAACTGATGGTAACTGACATCAAGTATAACCCACTCAATTGGAAAACTTAAGAATATGGTAAAATATACTGATTGTCACTGTACATAGGGCAAAATTTCTTGTTGCCCGAACTTGATCTTCTTCCAAAATGGTCAATTTACCTCCTCAATCGTTTCACTTTAGTCATCTCGTTAGTTGGCCATCCATTATTAAAACAATTATGTGCATGTCTTAATGGGAAATCTGATAGAGCATTTTTCTCCTCTAATTTTTAGACCAGCTGTTTAAATTTGTGCAATTCAGAACCACCCCCAGATTAGTACCATTACTTTCTGTTGAAGCATAAACGCCATTGCCATTACCACCTTCAATCTTAATGTACAGCAGACTAACTAACCATGTGACATAACTCAAAACGTTTTAAAAAGCAAAGTGACCATTTTGGAACGAAATGGATTTCGGTGATTAACAAGAAATTTCACCCTAACCCAAAAGAACAGAGAAGAACAGCCCAGAGAAAAGAAAGCACATTTGACACCTGCAGGGACGTTGAGCATCGTAAACAGTATTTCCGTTGGCATGAGTAGAGCCGTTCTCCAGAACAGATGCATCTGGTTTGTCATAGGCATGGAAGCTGCTGGTCCATTATTCACACAATCAGTTTCAAATTGCAGCAGGACATCAGGGGAAGCATGAACTGAAAAGTTTCATCATGTTTGGCTCGATGAAGCTCCTTCACTTCTAACAAATGATTTTCTCCTTCGATTGTGGAGCAAAATCGATTTGGGGGGTTAGGTTTCATTCACGGATCTGGACATAATTTGAGGATGGTTTGGAGCGAAGAGAGCTATAGGTTTCAATTCAATGGGCTAAGGCGTGTTTGGGAATTGCACTTTAAATGAGCTTGCACTTGATTTCCTATTTTGGAGAGAGTTGACATCCTCGTATGAGATGAAGAAAGAGGGGAAGAGGGTGAAGAAGAGGAAGAGGAAGATGGAGGGAGGAGATGAAAAGGAAAGGGGTAGTTTTTATATTGGCTGAATTATTAAGCCTATTTTTCGCAATAGCTTTTCCTATTAAAAGTACTATTTTACTCTTATTAAAATTATTTGAAAGATCTATCTTATATCTTTAAGGATTTATCAATCAAGACCTATATTTATATTTTTCAATCTTTTGAGCACCTTTAAATATTCTTTATATTTTAATAGTTCTTCAAAGATTATAGGTTGACATTTTTTGGTTATATATTCATTAAATAATCCTTTTGAAATTTCTTCTTGTATATCTCTATGTTTAGTTATAATATCCTCTACCTTTCTTATTTCTCTACTAGTTTCTACAGAATTAAATCCTATATTATTTCTACAATTATAATCTATATCTTTATATATTTCTTCAATTTTTTCTTTTCCAACAGGAAATATATCATCAGATTTTTCATCTAATTTAAGTAAAAACGAAACATTTTTTTCATCTAGAAATAAAATAAGATTATTTTCTTCCTTAGTAGTGGAAGTAGATGCATGTGAATTGTTCATTAAAATAATTAAAGCATGAGCATGTAAAAACAAATAAATAACTTACAGTAATCAAGTGGAAATAAACAGGCTTTCCCTCCAGTATGCTCTTATAGATGCTTTGCATGTACTTAATCAATCTTCTGAATCAAGTAAAGTTTTAAGATGTTTTGAAATCATTTGGGTCCACAACTGTTTCCGCAAAAGATTTTTCAATTAAGGTTGCATTTCTCATTCTAGAGAACTAGCCGTGTTTCCACAGACGCTATCTCACTGTATCCAGAGTCTCTGTTTTCACTTCTATTCAAACTCTTTTCAGAATCAAGTTCCTACTTGGAACGAAATTTTAAAAGATAAATCACACACAAGGTGCTACAATTTTGTTAGAAAACTGCCTTTTTTCCCTAAACCATTCATCAAAGACAGGTACTTTCGCATGGCTAAAATCCATTCAAAATCAGAATTTTGAAAATCTTTTAAAACCTCTATCTGTACTGCCGAGGAATCATGAGAAACTTAACGAAATCTTTTTATGAAAGCTTTGTTGAACATAACAAACTTTACTTTGATATTCATAAACTGAAATTGTACATGCTTACAAACTATATTTACATACATTTGGTACTCATCTTATGAAGTTTAGAACTCCATAAGTGATTACCTTATTACACGCTTTCCTATCTTCAAGTTATCTAATATTTCTCTGAATACAAGTGGTGTATACAGATTACAAAAGATTTCTCTCAGATATGTTTAAGAGATAAGCTATTTCGAGATATCTTCCTTCTTCCTTCATGCCCCTTTTTATAGGAGATTTTGGAATCTTATCTTGAACATGTGTTTTCCATCTTTCTTTGTTGGGTAGCTAGGCCACCGAATTTTTCCATTATCTTCTTGCTAGTGGACCTCTCATTTTGAAATTAGATACCTTATCTTTTGAGTTTGTCTACCACTTGTAACAATTGATGAGGGTAGTTACAATTATGAAGACTTTTCTTGCACTATCTTCTGTCTTTTAGTAGTCACAGTTTTTCTTTAATAAATTTCTTTATTAAAGTAGTGATAAAGGGCTACTTTTGTCACCATCACTTTTCCATTTTCGAATCAAAGAATTCTGCAGGGAATTCTTCACTATTAGGAGATGCTTGGCTCATATCTTCAATTACACAGTATTCACAATGGTGATCAGTGTAATTCCAGAGTAATTTGCATAGTTCTTTAGCCATATCTTCTGATCCATTCACTTGTTTGGAAATAATTGCAGATAATAAGTGGTCGAGATAACAAATATCTTCTTCCTTGGTGATCATCCTTACATTGGAATAGATAATATGATCTTCAGATGGATAAACCCATATTTTTTCTTTCTCAGTAATTATCTGGGTTACATGTTCAAATATCTCTTTGTACCCTTTAGCTCTTCTGTAGGGCATCATATTAAGAATATCTTGATATCCATTTTTAACAACCTTTTGATTGGTTGGTAAAAAATGTTGATTTGTAAGTCCCATTTTGATCACATGGAACGATGGATGCATATATTCAAGGACAGGATCCCATTCCATTGTTGCTGAATGGAATCTGATATATATATTTGTTATTTTAACAATTTCAGTATATCTTTTAACAGCTTTCCTAATGTTGGCTGGAAGTTGAGCTATCTCTTTGAGATCTTTGCTAGGATATATACAAAGTATATTTCCTATTTCAAAGCAATTTCGAACCCAGTTGGCTGGTGCTCCTGGATAAAAATTTATCTTGTTGTATTTTGAATAGTGGAGAGTCTTCATCCATTTTCCAATCTCCAGATACCAATCTGATAAAATATTGAAAATAACAATAAAGAGTGTTACTTCTTCATGGTTATCTTTTCTGGGAATTTTTGCTTCATGGCATATCTTGACAATATCTTTAGGATCTATTCTTTCAATAGAAAGTTTAGATTGAGTTTGGCTCTGTGAAGAGCTACCTTCTCTTTTGATATCTTGAATATCTTTATTACCAGTAATAGGTTTGAGTATTTCCTGTGAAGGGTTCTTATTACCTTCTTTTCTTTCCCTTTATCCTCGGGGAGAGCGCTAGTATTCACAAGTCCCTGCGAAAGGATACTGGTCTTGGTACAAGTAACTTCTGCCTCAAGAGCTATATTTTTGCCTAGAAGGCTATCTTGGATATTTTGAATTTGGGTTTCCAGGTAGGAAACTTTTATCTCAAGTATTTGGACTTTCATCCTTAGTTGTTCTAGCTCCATCCCTACTAAGATAATCAGGAAGAAAGTTAGCTTTTTCTTTAATATATTCAATATTAAATTTGAAGTATGAGAACCAAATTTGTATTCTAATAATATATCTATTGGCAGTAGATGGATCAACATTATTTTTCAAAAATGCTTTAACTTGAGTATTGTCAGTTCTAATTAAGAACTTCTTTGGTAATAAATAATCTTCATATTTTTTAACTCCTCTTTTTACAACAATGAGTTCTTTTCTGTTCGTTTCGTATCTTGTTTCGACTTCTTTGAATGTTCTTGATGTATAACCTGCAAGTATTTCAGAGCAAGAACAATCTTTTTCACATTTATATTCTTTATGATTCTTTTTAACCTTTAACACTGCTCCCCAGTAATAATCTGAAGCATCAGTTTCAAGGATAAAGAAATCTTCTTCTTGTGGTATTACAAGTTTGGGCAATACCTTCAATTCTTTTTTAACTTTCCTTATATTTTCACAATCTTGTTCTTCCCAATACCACATAATATTTTTTCTTAATTTTGGAAGAAAATAATTTTTTAATTTGGCACAATTTTCAATGAATCTTTCAGCATAATTTAATATACCAAGGAAGTTTTGTAATTATTTTTTATCTTTGATTTTTTCAGGAAATTTTTGAAATTTTTCTTCAATATGGGATTGCAATTCCAATTCTCCTTCTTTTATAAATAAACTTAAAAATTCAATTTCTGTTCCAGCTATCTCAGCTTTCTTTTGAAAAAGTGTAATACCATGTTTTTCATAATATAACAGAATTTCTCAAGATGTTCAATATGTTCATCAATGTTATTTGAATGAATAAGTAAATCATCAATATATGCAATACAGAAATGAGTAATCGATTTTATTACCTCATCCATTCTTCTTTGAAATATCTGTGGTGCATTTTTCAACCCAAATGGCATTACATTCCATTCGTATTGTCCTAAAGGATTGGGGGTACTAAATGCAGTTAGTGGTTTACTTTCTTTTGTAAGCATGATTTGCCAAAACCCTGACTTACAATCAAATTTTGAAAATATCTTTTTATTTTGTATTTGCTTAATAAAGGTGTCCTTATTTGGTAAATAATATCCATCAAATTTAGTAATTTCATTTAACTTTTTGTAGTTTATTACCATTCTGGCTTTTCCTCTTTTTATCTCACTATGTTTTCTAACCATAAAGGTTGGGCTGCTTTGTGGGCTTTTACTAAGCCTAATCAATCTGGCTTCTAGCAATTCTTTTATCTAGTTTTTAAATTCTTTTTGATCATCAACACTATATTTCATAGGTTTGACTCTTACTATAGTGTCTGGATTGATTAATTCTATTTTTGCCTTTACTTTGTCCGTATCCCATTTTTCTAATGAATTTTCAGAATATGTTTCAGAAATTTCTTTTTTCAATTTTTCCAACCTATTTTCTGTTGTCATTTTTAAGACTGTAACTTGTTTAAATTTTTCTATACTCCAACATCCACCACGCTGGGTTGAGGAATTCTGATGGTTTATATCCCTATATGCAATTGTAACAGCTTTATTTATTTTTGGTGTAAATATTTTACGTGCACAAGGTGTTGTGAACATATACTTATCAATATATTGTGTAAATTGTGCATATTTTAATAGAAAATTTCGTCCTAATAAAATATCACATCCTATTGTGGTTGACATATATATTGTATCAACAAATACTTCTCTAAAGGAAATTAGAAAGGGTACTTGCGTAGCATATTTGTTGTATATTACCTTATTTCCACCTGCTATTGTAGTAGTGACTACCTTCTTTGAATTGTATTTCCAGTATTCAGATAGTGGTACATTTGGTAAGCATAAGCTTATTGTACTTCCTGTATCTAAGTAAGCATGAAATTTAATTCTACAATAGCTTTTTATATTGAGTGTAATTTCAATATATGGACTCATGGGATTAGTACTAATTATTCTTTCCATGATAATAATGATTTCACATTTTCATCTATTTTTGAAATGATAATTGGATTATCGTCAACTGTTATTTTCAAATATCCTTGACAGATTTTATAAGGACTATATTTCTCAAGAAAGTTCATTCCTAGTAGAATAGGTGAACGATCTACTCCATATAACTCATCTTTATATAAAATTATTTCTTTAATATATTCTTTCTGATCCTCTCCAACAAGTATAAGAGAGAATTTAACATATTTTCTTATTTCAAGATTATTTCTCAAATAATCCTTAAATATATATGGTTCTG